GAAGCCAGTTAGATCAAGGGAGAGGTGAGCAATCCCTTTTCTGCAAAAGCCCCACTTTCCCAGTCTTCAAATGCAATTGAAACTGCAGGAGGTCTGTGATTCAAATCTCCGGCTCTGATCTGGTTTGCTCTTCTTGACTCTCTCTTGTGTTCGGTAATCCCCTTCTTCAAATGTCTCTTTGTTCTGCCAACATTGAAAAGAGAATATTTGTGGAAAATCCCGCAAATGACATTATCGCTTCTGCAATTATTGCACTGATTGAATCGGGTCAGTTTCCTACAGGGATTAATGCATGAGGTCAGCTGGAGTAAACCCAAAACCAAACAAAAGAATAAGTCTGGGCAACAGGGGATGATAAATGGCAATGGGAAGATTAATGGCAATTAAGCAGAGGCTGGATGGCCATCTGTTGGGGATGCTTTGATTGGGAGTTCCTGCATGGCAGAATAGGGTTGGACTGGATGGCACTTGTGGTCTCTTCCAACTCTATGATTCTATGATTCCTTTTTGCTAGATCAGGGTTGGGTTGCCAGATCACAAACTGGAGGGGGCTCCTCTGCCTTTAAGGGTTGTACCTAAGAGAGAATTTTAGCAGGTGTGGCTTGTGTTGTTGTGTGTCTTCAAGTCATTTCTGACTTATGGCAAACCTCAGGAGGACCTATTTTCTTGGAAAGTTTCTTCAGAGGGCGTTTACCATTGCATTCTTCCTCTGAAGCGGAGGGAGTGTCACTAGCCCAAGGTCACCCAGTGGGTTTTCCATGGCCAAGCCGGGATTCGAACCCTGGTCTCCAGAGTCCTGGTCCAACGCTGAAGTCACTACACCACACTGGCTTGTTTTATACAACCAGGTAAAAAGCAACACCTGTGGAAAGCATGGTGTAATGGTTTGAGCATAAGAATAGGACCAGGGTTCAAATCCCAGTTTGGCCGTTGAAACCCACAGGGAGACCTTGGGCGAGTCACACTCTCTCATCCCTAGAAAACTCCATGATAGGTTTGACGTAGGGTTGCCGTATGTCAGAAACAACTTGAAGGCACACAACAACAACAACATGACTATTAAAGATATAGAAACCCTTCTCCAATTTGTGACCTGGGAACACTGCTTCTAGAGGATGGCCTAATGGTTTGAATGTTGGAATAAGATTCTGGGAGACCAGGATTCGAATCCCCGCTCAGCCATGAAAATCCACTTGGTGACTGTGGGCAAGTCACATTCTCTCTCAGCCTCAGAGGAAGGCAAGGTCAGGGTGACCAGATGTCTTAACCGCAAAAGAGGACACAACAATATGTACAACATTTTAAAAAACATAGGACATTACAAAATAAAAGCTAAAAAAGCTTTTAAAAAACCACTCATATAAATATAAATTCCTGCTTCTTAGTTGTACTCAAAATGGTGCTTTTTGGAATAATATCCATCCTGCTGAATCCTGGGATTTGTAGTTTGGTGAGGCACCAGACTGCTTTGGCAGAGAAGACTGAAGATTTTGTAAAACTGCAAATCCCAGGATCCCATAGGCTGGAGCTACAGCACTTTAAAGTGATGCCAAACTGCATTATTTGTACAGTGCAGATACAACCCTACTTGCATTAAAACTGCCAGGTTTCACTTTCAGATAATGTAATCTTTCTTTAGTTTTTGTGGTTACAGTGAGGCGGAGCGTGTTTGCTGCCGAGGCTTCGGGGCGTTCTTGTGTATTTTATCTGTCTTTATTGCATGGCGGTTTGAGGACTTTGGTTTGCTTTGGGTTGGAGATATGAAATACGTTTTTGTTTTTGAAAAAGTCAAGTCGGTCATGGTCTGACACGATTCTACCTCCTACTCACTGCCAAGCCTTATAGTCTGGTTAACATTTTACTTGATTATTTAAGATTTTCTTTTATATATATATATATATATATATATGTATGTATGTATGTATGTATGTATGTATATATATATATATATATATATATATATATATAATAACAGGAAGAGAAAGCTGGGCCTAAGCCAAAAAAGTTTTTTAAAAATGAATTTCAGCTGGGAGAAATGCAAAGGACAATAGCATCCAAAATCCACAAGAGAGCGATACCTTTATGGGGCCAACCAAAATGCACAAAACTCATGTGTTGCAAGCTTTCGAAGCTCCACTGGCTTCTTTGTCAGGCAAAGGAGGGGCGAAAATATAACCGTATTAGTCACAAGTGTGCATTTTGTCAAGATGTTTTTGTTCTCAGTTCAGATGGTATGTAGGATATCCATACCTCC